TTTCTTGTTTGGTGACTATCCTAGCCTTGCCTTGTTTCTGTACTGGATACATGTCTGCTGCAGAGCCCCCCTATCCAGTTCCTAGGAGGTCTGCTTATTTCCATGCTCATAGTTCCTGGAATCCACAGTAGTTGCATCAGGGCTCTGGTATGTGGCCCCACAATCGCTGGTGCTCAACACCAGAGGGCATGTGGTTACCCTGCACCAGGCCCTGATAATCCACTTCCATGCTGAAGACTCCCACTTCTCATCAGGCACTCAGGGGTCCCGGTTTCCGTACTGCCAACCCTGACATTCTGCTTATACAAATGATTAGCCCTTTTATGGTAATTTGAACTGTCAACTTATTGAAATGCTCTAAATGAGAAATACATGTATCAAAGTAAAACTGTAAAAACTGAAGTGATCACCTGCATATTTCCTTTGTCTAAACATTCTTGCATTTCTTTGCTTAAGATTGACCCCTCAAAGACCAGCTTGAGATTTGCAAATGATACATAATTTTTGTACTTGCACTGTGGGGAGTTGCATCATGCATCACCTCACCACAATCTTTTTTGGTACCTACCTATATGCCTTCAGAGAGACACCAGTGATTTTCTAACTGTCTTTTTTAGATTACACAAGTATAGTTTGTTTGAAAGAGTTGCCAGAAAAAAAGCCTCTTCTCTCTAAAAAGAACAGTACAGCATGACTTAGGTTTGCAAAGCTGTATCTGAACAAACCACAAGACTTTTGGAACAGACGAGACCAAAGTTGAGATACCATATTTCACAAAAAACAAACAAAGCATATCAGCACAGACACCTAATACCAACTGTCAACAGATGATTGTTATTATGTCCAGATATGTAAAACCATAGATTTCAAAGAGTGTGTACTGTGACTGTGTGTGTGTGTATTTATTATACACACTTGGCTTTGAACTTAATGATTTTACTATATATCTCTGCACTTTGCTACACATGCCTAATGAGTTTCACCCAGAAATTAATGTGGCGTATTTACAAACAGCTTCAAGTAGTTTGTTTTAATAGCTTGTGCGCAGAGCATCTTTCATAAATCCATCTCTTATTCTACTCCCTGTTGAATGTTAATTGTCTTAAAATGTTCTGCAGCTTCTTCTATAGTTTAAAACTGGATTGCTTAAAGTGAAGAGGCAATGCTTGTTGATGTTGTGGAGTAATCAATGTGTGTTCAAGATGTTTGTTTAGCAGTGTAAATTAAGAAAAAAAAGCTAATAGGACAGTCAGGATAGTTAATATTAGAATTTATAAGATTTTATCAAGGTAATACTGTTCAATAAACTGGTAGGCATACTATAGAAACTAGAACATGTGTTTTTTTTTCTTTTCTTCTTAAATCTGCACTTTTCTGTTAAAGTGAAAATCTTTTGATATTGAGAAGTTTTTAGTTGCACCACCACATTTGTAGTATATTTACTACAATGTGGATGTGGGACTTAATATATTGGCAAAACTACCCAAAAATGACATGTCAGATTATTAGAACACTTTTATGATTATATACGTAAAAGTAATAATGAGCATAGAGTACCCAAACATTGCAATTCAGATGCCCATTTTCAGTTTAATATTTTTCTAGCCATAGGAATTGATAAGGCGGATTCTAATTGCAGAGGGGGCAACAGAGCTTTGGATTTGGCTTCTAAGGAAGCAAAATGGATCTGTGACCTTTACACCTTACAGTTGGGTATACATCAGGATGTCGATCTAGTTGGATTGATTTAAATATATGGATATTTCACTATTTTTTTCTTCTTGGGTAGTTTGTAATAATTTTGATTTTATGTATTTTTTATTGTAGAATTTTGGATGTTTTTCATTCTAAATCTTTTCATATTCCCAATTACAGATATTTAAGTATTAATATGTATACATGTATGTCTTTTCTGTGTATGAGTGTATGAATTTTGCTTTCATCATATTTTTTTCCTTATATATTCCTTATATAATTTTTGTTACTTTTTTTTTAATTTGCATTTATTGAATTTTCCACTTCTAAACTATAACTGTGTCATTATTTAAAGGTACATCCTTCATCATTCGTACATCAAGGTATAGGTAGGTAGCAATAAGCATAGACTAGGTTAGCATTCGTTTTGGCATTAAGTTAGATTTAGAGTGAGTATGATGTAAGGACTTGCTATTGTTATGCTATAGGTATTCCTTCGCTTTGCAGTGGTAGTAAAACAACTGTAAAGAAGAGACTCTAAGAGGTAAATAAACTGAAAATGACAAAAGTTTAACATAGGTCTCTTTCCAGGGCCGGTGCAAGGATTTTTGCTGCCCTAGGAAAATGTAAAGTTTGCCGCCCCTCCCCCATGTGACATCACAATGCCCCACCCATATGATCTGCCATGTTAACTAACGCCAGTGCTGCAGTGCCGCCGTGTTTACATTAAAGGCCTGCAGGGACAGGCTATAGACACCAGAACCACTACATTAAGCTGCAATGGTTCTGGGGACTATAGTGTTTCTTTAATGTGAGGTAAATTAGAGCTTAGTGCCACGAATAATATACTAGATTGCCTACTTACAACGAGATGAGGATGATGATGGGCTCTAGCTGCAGTCTGGCTCCACTGGTCTGGTGCAGAACAGGCTCACTGGAGGCGGTTTGTAACTGTGGTCACAAAAATCAATGTTCTGGGAGAACGGGAAGCAGCTCCATTTTTGGGGGGCCCTTTACACAGCTCAAGGTCTGGGTCCCAGGGTCCACCTTCATGTTCCACCAATGAGTTTGTTCACAGGGGGTGGAGTGTGTAGGGGATGTCCTGATATGTGTGTAAGGAATGCATTATGTGAATCTGTGTTTGTATGTGCAAGGGCTGCAAGGTGTGTTTCTGTGTATGTACGGGATGCAGTGTGTGCGTCGGTAAGGGGTGCATTGAGTGTGTGTAAGGGGTGCATTGAGTGTGTGTAAGGAATGCATTGTGTGTAAGGGTTGCATTGCTTGTGTGTGTCTGTGTGTGTAATGCATTGTGTGTTTTTCTGTGTGCAAGGGGTGCATTGTCTTTGTGTGTAAGGGGTGCATTGTGTGTGGTTGTGTGCGTGTGTGATGGATGTCAATCTCTCCCCCCCCCTTGTCCCTCTCTTCTCCCCCCTTGTCACTCTCTTCTCCCTTCCCCATCCCCACTCTCATTCCGCCTCCCTCCCCTATCACTCTCTCACCCCCTGTCAATTTCTTTCTCTCCCCGTCAATTCCCCTACCTGTCAATTTATTTCTCTCCCTCCTCCCTGTCAATTTATTTCTCCCCCCCGTCAATTTTTTCCCCACCTCCCTGTCTATTTCTTCCCCCCTGTCAATTTCCCCCCCTGTCAATTCCCCCCCCCCTGTCAATTTCTCTCTCCCCTACCTCTGTTGTAGCGTGGCCGAGCTCTGTATGGTCCGCGGGTACAGGGAGCTTTTGTTTCCTGTACCCGGCCGGACTAAAAGGAAGTGCACACTCAGTGTTAGTCCGGCCGGGTACAGGAGACAGATGCTCCCTGTACCCGCGGACCATACAGAGCCACGCTACAGTGAGGTAGTGAGAGGAGGGAGCGCTGAGCACTGAGCGCTTCAATCCTGTCAGCCACTCTCCTTATGCTGCGCCCTCATGGATGCACCAGCCCGGTCGAAGCTGCAGCCGCCTGAGGCTCTCTACAGAGCTATCGGGTGGCTGCAGCATGAGGGGGGCCGGCACTCCTGGCGGCGCCCCTTCCCAAGGGGCTCCCTAGGCTGCTACCTAGCCTGCCTAACAGGTAGCGCCGGCCCTGTCTCTTTCTACAATATCATCAAGAGAATGTATTGTGCTTATGCGGTGTGTATGTAATCCTGTACCAATGACTGACAAACTGCTCTCAGACAACTTGCACGGTAAGCCTGATATATAAAGGACTACATTCTGCAGATGGTACAGCGGACAGGTGCAGCCATTGCAAAAAGGCATTAGAGTCCCCAGTTGAAGATAAGGTGAGTGCTGCATCACCCTGTGTTACAATTTGGGAACCGTCCACTCCCCAGCGGTATTTGATTATGGCGTTCCATAGTTGTTTGGCTATCACAGCCAGTCTTTCCATTAATACAGCAAATGGGAGGTCCCCATAAATTGCAATGGTGCAACCCTCAAAATACATTTTTCCAAGTTCACTGGAACAGTGTCACGGGTGGCGGTACAGAGACCAGGACCCCTGAGTGCCTGATGATGATGGGAGTCTCAGCGTGGAAGTGGATTATCAGGGCCTGGTGAATGGTAACCACATGCCCCCTGGTGTTGAGCACCAGCGTTTGTGTGGTCACATACCAAGGCACTGATGCAGCTTCTGCGGATCCCAAGAGCTAGAGAGCTTGATGATATGCAGACCTCCCAGGAACTGGATAGGGGGGCTCTGCAGCAAAACTGTATCCAGTACTCGAAACAAGGCAAGACTAGGACAGGCACCTAACAAGATAACAAGACAAGACTAGAATAACCCAGAACCGGAGCAGGACAGAAAGCAGTACACAAGACATGAGGGAAACATGAACAGGGCAGGACAGGCCTGTACATGAACTGCGAATACAAGACAAAATAAAACAAGACCAGAGATGCAAGGCAAAACAAGAGGAGACATAACTAAGTACTAATATGTGCAATAAACATTGGAGACTTATAAATACATAAATGGCCAAGATAAATGCAGCCCACCACTGCATCAAAGTACTCCAAAACAAAAAGGATTAATGGGAAAGGAACGGGTGTGGCAACAAAAACCAAACATTTAAAGGAATCCAAGAGACTGGGAATTCCAGGAACAGAATACAGCAATTAACCCAGAAAACCCAGCATAAAGAAAACCATACATGGAATAGAAAACCAGAAAAACCAAGAAAAACTAAAAAAGAATTGTAAAAAGAGTACTGGATACCAGAAGTCAAGGCTAGACGTCTCTGCAGAACAGAGCAGGATGTGACAAACCGGTCATGATGGTGGCTCAAAACATGACATCATTTGTTACTGCTATAGTGTCTCTGGGTGCTCCTGGTGGAGTGGCTACTGCTTTATGTACTCTTAAAGCGGATATTGGCAATGTTTGGTCGGTGCCACCCTCTAGGCCTATAGAAGGAAGTAACTGGCTTAAAGGTAGCAAGGCATCCCCTCCAACCTTCTCTGGTATACCTCTCAGGTGTATATTTTGTCTTCTATGGCAGGTTTCCAGTGATGTAATAGACCTGGTAAGTGGCTGGACTAGTTGGGCCAGGTTATCCACTTGGCTTTGGGTGGTCTGTAACTTGTTCTCCTGGTCACTCTCCCTAGTCTCCACTGCTTCAATCATCTGTTGGAGTATTCTTATCTCAGTTTGTGCTACAGGAGGCCAGCCTTCCTTACCTTCCTCGCTATTCTTGCACAATTCCTCTGAGGCCTTCTTCTCATTCTGCACCATGGGCATCTCGATGGGGCAGGCCACACGAATGTCAGCCTTATATCTATGTGGCAGTGTGTAAATGTTGCTGTCTGTGTATCTATGTATGCACAGTAAGTTACATAGTTACATAGCTGAAAAGAGAATTGCGTCCAAGTTCAACCTTCCTCACATGTGTTTTTGCTGTTGATCCAAAAGAAGGCAAAAAACCCAGTTTGAAGCGCTTCCAATTTTGCAACAAACTAGGAAAAAAATCCTTCTTGAGTATATCTGTGCATGCGCGCACATGTGTTTCTGCTAGTGTGCATTTGGAGGCCAGTAGTTTGCAAGGGGCCAAAAGAATTCTGGTGGTAGCCCTGGTAAATGTTATGACCGGTAATTATCTCTTTTGCCCACCATTGCACTAGTGGGGGCCCCAAACAATTCTTGCATCAGTGACCTCTCTACATTCATTACGCTACTGGTAATATGGACGTAGGACATATAATGTCAAGTAGAACAAATCATGTCAAGTAAGACAATGTTATTCTATATTAGAGAAATAATGAAATTGGAATGTTTTATAAAACGGACTACAACCTTTGATTTTAAGCATGGTAGAACAAGTTGGGAAATATCACCGCATGTGCATTGTCATGGGCATGCTTACAAATTGCCAACATGTTCAATAGCACTCAGTAACTGTTAAACATCTCCCGTGCAGGAAAGGGTCTAAGATCTGACATTGAAGAAAGTGTATGCTTGAATTTACATAATACAAGATCCATTACTGTTCATGTTTCTATATAAGAAATAATATTTGCACTTTAAAGGAATCTATAATCAGGCATTAAAAGAATGACTCAAGATCCAGACAACACTGCTGCTTCTGAGAAACTTCAAAGAATGTTGTATGTCCTCCCTGCAGTGGATGCAAATCACTGTCAATGAAAAAGCACATCAAGGACCCTTGAGAAATAATGCAGATTATAGTTAACTCTTTTCCATGCGTTCCACACCCCATGGGCACTCAGACGATTAAGCAAGGTAATTACTGTGTGTTGCTCATAGGTGTCTTGTCATTGTATGTGTATTGTATTGAAGTCAATCAGCTGATTTCACCTTACATGTGTGGCGGAGCTCTGTGATGTAGCTTAAATTATTAAACAATGCTAAGATTTCTGAAACAAAATAGTAGAGGGGAATTTGTTCAAATGATTATTGTATTATCCAGACTTAGTGCATAGCACTAGTCAGTCTGCTGCTTCCAGCCCTCAATGGAGGAAATAAGCAGCAGACTGACTTGTGACTGAGCACTGGAGTACAGAGAGTTGACAAGAAACAAGATTTTTCCAAGGTGGGGAATATACCACCAGTGCCCTATTCATCAAGCAGTTAGTCTGCTCAAAGAAATTTCGGAATTGTTAACATTGGAAATTTCTGGAGAAACTATCTACCACGCATATCCTAGAAGTGGGGATCATTCCACTTCAAGCTACACACACAAGAGAGTATAACAAAACCCATACAGTAAGGTATACATACCTAACTATATTGGAGTCTTTCTTCTTATGTCTTACATGTACCTCTGGAACTATAAGAACCCAACCGTCAAGAAAGTCTAATTTCATCCAGTTTGGCTGTTTCTTTTAAGACTTTTATATTCTTTTTTACTATTTTATTTGCATTTTATGTGTTTCATTGGGTATTTTATCATTGTAAACAGTTTGGTACATTCTATGAGGTGCAACCTTACTCCTTTGTATATCTTCCACTATTTTGCCTACGTTGACCAACTACTTGACACCAAGCTTTTTGGTGCCAAGGGCTTTTGTTACAGAACGGTTCTATATTTTTATCGTTAATAAAGATGCATCTTTATGTATGAGTGCCTTATAATGTGTTTTTAGTTTAAGATGCCATTATGAATATATATTTGTTGGTTATTAAGGGATATTTATGAGCACTATGCATTGCAAAGGACTTCCAAAGATGGCACCCTGAACTTCAGGAAGTTTTAAATGTAGTGCATGAATCCATTTTGATGGATCAAATAACCAAAATACATGTTAAAGAACTATAAATGGAAATGACATTGCAGCAGTTGAATAGGAGTAGCACTTCGGAGGAGTGTATGACATACAGCAATGTAAGCTAATTGGTAGACCTATGTATATGGACATTTGAGAAGGGGTAAATATATCTCTGGGGAAGATGGAGTCAAACATAAAGTTTTGTGCAATTATAAGTTTTTGTGGCCAGGATTGGAGGGTCACTTGATAGAGTGTGACAAAAGTGCTTCTTCAGGGCCCAAACATGAACTTTTATAAAAGGGCAATATCAATTTTAAAATAACACATTTACCTTGGGCTAATCTTCTGCATTACACCAAGTAGGAACCTTGCAGAATTTCGGGAGACATATAGATTCCATGCTTTTGGTCAGGGCTGCCATCAGAAATTTTAGGATACCTTACACAGCTTAAGGTCTGGGTCCCCGGAAGCACCCTCATGTCCACCCACAGGGCCAATCCTGAGTCCACCCACAAGGATGCGTTGTATGTAGTAGATGCAGTGTTTGTGTGTAGTGGACGCAGAGTGTATAGTAGATGTAGAATATGTGTTTGTTAAGCGAACACAGATTGCAAGTATGTGTAATGGATGCAATGAGTGCAGTTGATGTAGTGTTTGTGTAAGAGCAGAGTGTGTGTTTTTTATAGTGGATGTACTATGTGTTTGTATACAGTGGCGCCTCCAGGATTCATACTTGGGAATACATAAGGGGCCAGGGACAAAAGAAGGGGGGCAATTATAAAACGTGTGTATGTGATATATACATATATACACGTACATACACAGGTCTCAACAAATTCCAGGTCGCCATGGCGACTAAACATTTCGCCCTGGCGCCAGCATTTGTCAGCCCTTTGCTAAGCCTCGCAGGAAACATTAGAGCCAGTGGGCATGTGGGGAGCATGGAGATGGCGCGTGAAGGAGCAGTAACCTTCCTGTAGTTCCTCTCTGCTCTATTGCGCGCTGTTAAGTTACATGACGTCACTCCGCCCCTGGCATCACTACAGAGAGCACGCAGAGGAGCAGAGAGAAACTGCATGAAGACTGAGAGGAGACACACTTGACGCCAGGGAAATATCCACTCAGATCTCCTAAAGGCTGGATGGATTTAAATAAAAATAAAAATGGCAATTTGTGAATGTGTGAGAAAATGTGTGTATGTGCGTACACGCTGAAAGGACCTGTAAAGTGTGTGCGTGTGCGTCTAGGGGCTGCATTGTGAGTATATTTGTATTGGGGTTGCATTGTGTGCTTATCAACGAGCTGTAGTTATTATATACGTATATATGGTGTGTAATGGGGTGAAGTATGTATGTATGCATGTTTGTTTGGAGGTAAAGGTATGTGGGGAAGAAGTGTATATGTGGATGAAGAGATGATGTGTGTGAGGGCTGCACTGTGTATATATGCAAAGGTGTACTCTGTGTTGGTGGGAGTGTACTGTATGTGGGGGAGTCACTGTCTGGGGGTGTAGAGAGTGGGACAGTGAAGAGCTTTACAATTTTTACTTTAATAATTGTTTGCAAAAAAAATAAATATTCCCCTTTCCCACGTCTTACCTTGCAGGGAGGGGGTGGCACAATCAGATCCGTGGTGGTATCCATTGGGTACAGGGGAGGTCACGAGATGAGAGTTCTGTCTCTTGAAGCTCAAGCACTTACAGAGATTGACCCATACACACCAACAGACAGACACATACACAGACAGACCCACACACACACACTCTGACCCCCACCCACACACAGACTGACCCCCACACACACAGACTGACCAACCCCACGCAGAATGGCCCACACACAGAGACTGACCCACCCACCCCACACAGACTGACCCACCCCACACAGACGGACCCACACACACACTCACACAGACTGACCCCCACACACACAGACTGACCCATAATCACACAGACTGACCAACCTCACACAGAATGGCCCATACACACAAACCGATCCCCCATACTCACAAACTGACCCCCAACACACACAGACTGACCCACCCGCCCCACACAGACTGATCCACCTCACACTCACACAGACTGACCCCCTCACACACAGACTGACCCCATCAAACACAGACTGACCCATACACAAAAACTGACCCCCACACACAGACTGAACCCCTACCCCACACACACAGACTGATTCCCATACACAGACTGACCCCCCCACATCCATACACACAAACTGACCCCCACACAGACTGATCCCCATAAACAAACTGACCCCCCCACACCCATACACACAAACTGACCCTCATAGTCACAGACTGAACCCCCACCCCACACACAGACCGATCCTCACACATACAAACTGACCCCCCACACACCAATACACACATAGACTGATCCCCACACACACAGACTGATCCACACAGGCACAGACTAACCCCACCCCTCACACCACAGACACACACACACACGGACTGATTAACACTTACCAGCAGCTGCCTGGATGCTTCATGCTTCTGTGCAGAGCTCAGCTTCCTCTCCCTGTCTCTCTCCTGCCCTGCTCTCTATGACCCAGGAGGAAGTCCCCCTAGCACAGCGCCCCCTCTGGCCGCACCACCAGTAACAGTATTACTGCAGCTTATGAAGAGAAACTCTGTGCTACCGACTACAATTCCAATTGGGGGCACAAGGAGGGGCACTGCATGATGTAGGGGGGACCATGGCCCCCTCTGCACCCACCCCCCCAGTGATGCCACTGTTTATATAGATGTCAATTTCAAGTCTCACAGAATGTAATAGTTTTATTGAAAAACACATTAGGCTGCTAGAGCAGGACCTGCAAAAAATTTATTCTTGAGCCAGTTCATGAAGGCGGAAGTGAATGTATGTGTGTAATCCCTAACTCCCCATCCAACTATCGTCCTATCTCGCTACTGCCTTT